CTAAAACGCTAAACCCTAGAACCCTGGAACCCTGAAACCCGAAACCCTAAAACGCTAAACCCTAGAACCCTAGAACCCTAAAACCCAAAACCCTAAAACGCTAAACCCTAGAACCCTAGAACCCTCAAACCCAAAACCCTACAACGCTAAACCCTAGAACCCTAGAACCCTAAACCCAAAACCCTAAAACGCTAAATCCTAGAACCCTAGAACCCTCAAACCCAAAACCCTACAACGCTGAACCCTAGAACCCAAGAACCAAAAACACAAAACCCTTTCGGGTTTACGTAGGCTTCAGAGTTTCTTGGGCTTCCTCTTGTGGTACGGGTCCCTCTCAGTATTTGGGGAGGGTTCCCAAAATTAGGGGTACCCTTTTGGGGGTCCCTATCATAAGGATTATAGTATTTTGGGGTTTATATTAGGGTCCCCCTATTTAGGGAAACTACCATTTTCTTCGCTTTTCTGGGCACCGGCAATTCAAGCAAACTCCCATGCAAGAACTTTTGAAGTGGGACCCTAAACCTGAGCCTCAAACCCTGAACCCCCAGCTGTGAACCCCAAATTAGTTGGGGTGTGATATTATCCTGACAGTGGGAATCAGATGGATAAGGAAATTGAACATGACAGGGAATCCGAGATTATCTTGCCATTAACTGGGGGATTCACGCATGCAAGGACTTTTTTGTATTAGTGTCCGTGGTAAGTGTATACAAGGTTCTGTGGGAAGTATGATGAGTGTGCATTTTTGTTGTCCAGTTTGGGGGTCATACACTAAACTCCTAGGAGAATCCCCAAACCCTAGCCCTTAAGGGATGCTAGTCTTTCGGGCTGGGATTGACGTTGCGTTGGGGCTTTGTGAGTGTCTGGGCCTCAGCAGGGAAATGCATTTTGTGACCCCTACCCACTAATTGTGGTGACCGCCAGAGATAGCAGCCATCAGAACAGGCAGATTGAAAGCCCAAAGGGGTTTAGGGTTTAGGGTAATGTTCCAAAAAAGTAGCCCAAAAGGCTATTAGTCTGCATACGCGGATCCAGGTACAGGCAATGGACCCCCTAAAACTGTGTTAAAGGAACCCTTTTAACAACCCCTGGCCAACAGCAGTTGTCCCCTAAGCCCTACGTATCACTATGTAAGTACAGAAGCCATGGCACTCCCTTTCAAGGGCTTCTATGCAACCCCGATAGAAACCCTCCTGAAAGCTTAAGGCCCTAAACCCTACGTCCCGTGAACAAGCCAGGCCCATGCATGCAGCTAAGCGTCCTTGCACGCCAGAGCCAAGCAAGCAGGGCAACAATCAGGCCTTTTGGGTTTAGGCTTTTAGGGGTTGTTAGGGGGTTCAGGGTTCACACAACTAATCAAGCTGGGTATCGCGCAGGACTTCTTTATGGGTTATGTAGGGATACGCATGGCGTCCATGAAAGGGGGCTATAGAGGATTAATGCAGGGTACTGCGCAGGATTCTTGTACAATAGATTAGTGTCCTGTAGGATTGAGGACTTGGGTTTTTGGGAAGGTATCGCGCTTGTGTTTTGTATAATCGCTTCCATGGAGAATCTAGGTAATGGAAAAATACAGAATGACATGGAAAGTGGAATACCATAGTGTATGTGGTTTGCTGTCTCTCTCTCTCTCTCTCTCTCTCTCCCTCTCCCTCCCTCTCTTTGTCATGACTGCACTTGGAGCACCCGAACCCCTATAGCGAGGACCCTATAACAATAACATGGCTTTGTTCTTGTACTTTGAGTTTCAGGGGGTTCTGAAGACACGGGTCGTTCTTAGTTTTTTTGTTTTATGTCAGGGCCTCTCTTGTGCTCGAAGCTATCTGGCATCCTCCGACACGAAGATCACAGGGCTCCCCACTTACAAACACGCTCAGACGGTTCTATGGTAGTTTCCCAGAATAAGGGGATCCCAATATAGACCCTGAAATACCATAATCCACATTTTTATAGGGACCCCCCAAAGAGGTACCCCTGTTTTTAGGAAACCCACATATGGCGGTAGCAGACCTATTGAGTTGGAAGAAGATGAAATCCAATTAGACAACGCTGCAGGACATCTTGAACATATTATATTATATATAGAGTAGTTTCCATTTTCTTTTCCATTATCCCTATATAAACCTAAATTATCCCATTTAATCCTATAGTCTCCCTACATTCTCCCTACATTATCCATACAAACCCTACACCCTAAACCTCAAACCCTCCATTCTTCTGCTGTGAAGCCAGCCTCGAGGAGGGCCAGCTGCTACATACGCGGGTTCTACACTCTCCCAAACTAACATGGAAACCCACGGGGTCCCCGTTTAGAGGGACTGTATTCTTTATAGGGCCCTTTTTGGGTTTCTATGTCAGTTTCCGGGAGTGTACCCTTGAGAAAGTCGATGTGAAAATGAACGGGGGATAATGGACAAGAAAATGGAAACTATATATTATAGTATGTTCAAGGGATAGTGTAGGGAGAATGTAGGGAGAATATAGGATTATCTGGGATAATCCAGGGTTATATAGGTGCGGGGGCCATTGTTTGGCCCCTTGTGGCTTTCATGTTTGCGTGTGGTCGGTACATCCCTTGAATCCCTAGATAGCCGCCAGTGTCCACTGCTGGCGCAAAACGACACACAGGCGCAAAATGATGCCATCGGAAAGTCTACAAAACCAGAGCCTTAATGCCCGAACTTTAAACCGTAAGCACTAGCTGTGAAATCCTGCAAAGTTCTTTCTCCTTGAAGTTTCGTGGCTAGCCAGTCCTGGAATTAAGTTCGATGATACTATTACTGTAGCCTGTCTATAGCCGTATACCAAGGCCCTAGTACACGTCAGTGGGGATCTAGTATTCAGGGCTGTTTTATGTAGGGGCATATAGGGGACCCTTCTACTACATGTCATTGCGGGTCTGGTATGCTGGGGTAGCTTATGTAGCGGTATGTAGGGGAATGAAAAAGAAAATGGAAACTACTAGATACCTTTAATCGGGGATCTATGGCCCCCCCGATAGTGGTACTTGGGCCCCAGGAATAGAGGCAGGGTCTCGGTAGCTGTTGCTCTGTTCATGATCCGCCCGGTCCTTAACTCCTGCACCTTATAAACCCCAACCCTTGACATTTCCCGTCATAATCTCTCCGTAGCCATAAATGCCCGTACTAATTTTTCGGGGGATCCCAGAAAGCCTTTGAACCCTGAAGCCTCATCCCTGAAATCATCAACCTCTAAACGCTAGGCACTACAGCGCGTAGATAAACGTAATCACAAAAGGCATCTAGAACCCTAAGCCCTAAACCCTGGTAAATCATCCCTAGAGACCCCTTTATAGCCCTAGCTTCCACCTTACTTGTTCATTGTCTTAGCCAGTTGAGTCTTCATTCTTTCACCCCCCAAACCCCAAAGCCAGCAATGCCTCTCTGTACAACTAACGCCCTAAAGACAACAATCGGATAGCGTAATACCCTAAACCCTAACCCCGCTATGTCCCTAAACCTTATTCAAACCCAAAAACCCCACGTAGTTTTCATGGTCTTTAGCCTTTCCCCTTGCCTAACGCCAAACCGATCCTTACGAACGTCATTCACCCTTTATATAACCTATGTACCCTAAATCCTGGATCCCACGTAAACCCTTAACCCTTGGTCTCAATTTTGCTTTCCACTCCTAAACCCCTCCAGCATGTCCCCATGGGCCCCCATATAATACATTATGTAATCCATAGTAATGAGAGTCTAAGCTCCTTCAAGAGGTTATTTAGGCTTATAGGGGATTATTCTAAGGGTAATTATTAAGGGGGATACCAGGAGTTTAGACTTCGGCTCACGTAAAGCCCTCTCAAGGGAACCTCTACACATCCCTACATTGCCCTTCAGAAGGGCCCTAATCCCTCAACTTTAAACAGACCTAAGCCCGAAACGCTTAAAACAACAACCTACACCCTACATGTACCTAGGGCCCCTGTATACCCCAAACCCTGAACCTTTAACCCTAAAGTGTATGGCTTCAGATCCCGTGGGGCCAAATCTCGGCCTCGGCCAAGTCGCTGTGGGACCGGGCTGTGGATGTTCTCCGTAGCGCTGCCGAACCCCCAGCTGGTCCTTGGGAGGGGGGTTTAGGGTTTAGAGTTGGGACTATAGGTAGGGGGTTAGGGTTTAGGATTTAGTGTTTAAGGTTGGGACTAAAGGGGTTTAGGGATCAGGCTTAGGGTTGGGACTATAGGGGTGTAGCATTTAGGGTTGGGACTATAGTGGTTCCGGGTTGGGACGGCAGGAGTTTAGAGTTTAGGGTTGGGACTATGGGATTTCCTGTGGCTCCATGTACCTACGCTACCTACTAGCTATGGGGCAAGTACTACCAAACTGTAGGTAAAGGTAAATGGAGTCACAGGCAGGCTTTAGGGTTCAGGATTTAGGAGCTAGGGGTTCAAGGCTTAGGGATTCTCTGAGAGCTTCCTGTACAGGGTTGCATAATAATACCATAGTTCTGGAAGGATTATGAGGAGGGGCGTTCCTTGCCAAGAGGTTATATATGGCGGATGGAAATTACGGGTTGTATAGGGCATGTGGGGGCGTCAGGGTTCAAAGGCTTAGGGCTTAGGGCTTAAGGTGTGGAAGGGTTCCTTTGAAGGGGTTATATAGGCATCTATAGGGATATCATAAACGAACTAGGGGAAGGGCCGTAAATATATACGGATCGCAAGGCAAGAATATGAACAAACATTCAGGGTATGAAGGGGTTCCTTCCGAGGGGTCCTACGGGGATATGTTGGGATATGTAGTTTAGGAACTAGGCTTGGGCTAAGAATTGAGAATGTAGGGGTTAGACCTTCCTTGGGATGGGGTGGACAGGGGTTATGTAGCGATTACATATTTGTTAAACTTACTAGTGGTTAGTAGGGCATAGGGGAATATTTATCCATATATAATCCCTATATAATGTACTCCCATATTCCCTACTAACCCCCAGTAAGTAAAAAGGTCTCTTTGCTTAGTGGCTTTGAGGGGTTCTCTTAAAAACGGTCTTATAGGGGTTGCTTCAGGACATAAAAGGGTTTTAGGGTTGTAATGACAGAGGGTCAAAGGGTTTAGGGTTTAGGGTGTGCAGGTGACCTCGCGCGCTCGGGCGTGAACAGCCCCTGGCTGCGCGCTTGCTTTGCTTGTAAACCCACCGCATCCACCCATACTACTTTCAACTAGGGTTTAACGCTTCCTGTGTGCATGCACGATGCATGAGAACGCTGCATTAACTGGACGTGCCAGTTTACAAGCTCAGAGAAAAGGCCTGAGTTGCCTCAGCGGGCTGGAGCAGTGTACTCATTTGGCACAAGCATCGTTTGGGACAACTTGACTGACTACTTGTGGAGGCTGGAATGGTTGATGTTCGACGTCGGTGAAGCTTCCATCGACCAAACCTGGCAACTAGGAGACTGCACAGCCCGTTGAAATTTGTCGCATTTGCTCTATGGACTCGAATGCTTGTTTGCAGTTCAACACCAGTAGATACATTCCCAGTCTCTAAAACTGTCAGCCCACTTGAGGGACCGCCTGACAAGGCATCATTTGTGGCAGCAGCATGCTATGTCGTCCCTATCCAGGAGCTGGAGCCTCCTGGTCCTTCTGATGAGTATTTACTCCTACCACGAGGTTGGAAGCACTGGAGAAAGCGGCCTTGCAGACCTGCTTCCTGGTCCTAGCGCACATGCCTGGTCGAGGCCTTGTGCTTATGATGCAGATATTGAGGAATATGAAGCTGTTGCAAGCTTCTCGAATATCCTTTTGCCTGTTGTTGGTCGCCTTCCCCGAACTGCTTGCTCCAAATCTGCTGCAATTGTGTAATACTTCCATGCGTTCCACTTCGGCTTTGCCGTGCTTGCACAACTCGTTGGAAAGAGTGAGCTTCCAACATCTCGTTGCTGTCGCAGCTCAATGCTTCAAGACATTCCACCCTGCTATCTTCTTGCGCATGCTGCACAAGTATTCCGGCGGGTTCAAGAAGAGGATGGTTGTCTTATGGGCTTCACTTTGAGGCAGTTCGCGCATTGATCACCAGCAAAAAGTCTTTCAGGCCTGTAAGTCACTTACGGGTGGTTGGCTGTAAGAGACGCGTTGCCATTGCAAAATACATCGTTCTGTAAAGAGCTGAAAGCCCTCAGCATCATTGCGTGTCGGACAAACCTTGCGCGAAGCCATGAAAAGATACCGTCGGCAATTGCATTTGTTCCAGACCATCTCGCGTCCTATGAAGCAGGCATTCTGTCAGGTGCCCGCAAATGCTGACAGATAGTAGAGTCTGCGAATGTTGTGGCGCCGTTGTGCAACCATCAAGCACGACCTCGAGACAGACCTGCGCAGCCCCCAGCAAGCGACCCGAACGGAAACACCCACAGACCCTCACATGACATCACAGGTACAAAACAACAGCTCTTGAGCAAATGCGACAAAAATCAACGGGATGCGCAATCTCCCAGCTGCCAGAACTGGTCGATGGAAGCATGATTGGGGTCGAATACCAACCAATTCCAGCCTCCACAAGTAGTCCGTCAAACTGTCTCAAACGAAGCTTGTGCCAAATGAGTACACTGCACCAGCCCGAAGATGGCCGGGGCTACTCAAGCCTTGTCTTTGAACGTGTACATTGGCACATCCAGTTCATGCAGCGTTATCGTGCATCGTGCATGCACACAGGAAGCGTTAAACCCTGATTGAAAGTACTGTGGGTGGATGGGGTGGGCTTACAAGCACAAGGCAAGCGCGCGGCCAAGGACTTTTCAGCCCTGTGGAAGCTCTGAAACGTTTTGGAAGCCCTGGCAGGATTGGGGAGGCAGAGAAAAAGTGGTTAACGCTTTGGGGTTACAGTATATATAGCTATGCTATAGGGGAGGTCCGGTCTGGCCTGCCCCCAATGAAGTTTCGGGAGGGGTGAATACGGCTTGTGAGTCGACCTGCGGGGGTCAAGGAGGTGAGGCTTTAAGCTCGCCTCTCCGCGACCCGCTCGGGCTGTGAGCCCTCGGCCAGCGTTCGGGGTCTGTCGCTTGACGTTAGCGACCCCTCACTTAGTTTAGGATGGGGAATGAGGCGGAAACATTGTGTATAGGCGTTTGAAGGGATTGAATGTGAAGGCTTAATGAATTAGAGCTTCATCTTGGGTCTTCAGGGTCTTAAGGGGTTCCCTTACAGGGGTTATGTGGGGAGATAGAAGGTTTTTTGAGTAGGGTGTAGGGTTTGCCGCGCTTGAAGGGCTTCACATAGGGCTAACCGTTGGCCTTAAATCCAAAGCCGGGAACCCTAAACCCTACTACTTCAACCCATGAGGCGCCAGCTGATCCAGAGCCTGAGATCCAGGAGGTGGGATTTAGGATTCCAAGTTTAGGGGTTTAGGGTGTAGGGTTTAGGGTTCCGTGATTCCTTACAAGGGAGAGCGGGGTCACATGAATGGGGTTTGGATCCGGATTGCTTTGGAGTTTGATCCCTAACCCCTATATAACCCTTTGTAGTCATTTCCATTTTCTTTTCTATGATAGCCATATAACCCCAATATGACCCCTACATAACCCCCATAAAAGGAGGAATGGTCCAGCTTTCGAGTTGATCTCAGGTCTACTTAGGGTTTGGGGTTGTAAACAACATAGTCCCCTCAGATCCCTTAAGCACGGGTTATATAGGAATTATTAGGGTATATATTAGGGTTTCATTGGGACAAAGGAAAAGAAAATCGAACCTACTATAATGATTGTTTTGGGGTTTATATAGGGGGTATAACGGAGAATCAAATGGAAGAGAAAATGGAAAGTAAAATGGAAGCTCGGATTATAGGGTAGTTTATAGGGGTTATATAGGGGTTATATATCGGGGTTAAGTGGGGATACTGGAAAAGAAAATGGAAGCTACTACAATGGGCTATATAGGGTTTAAGGTTTAGGGCCCCTTAAGTAGATAGAATATGGGCTATATGGGGATCTTATTTCAATGTAGGTCAATTCCATATGCTATTTACTTCAGGGGGACTATAAGTCTAAGATTTTGGATGCACGGCCTGGGGTCTGACTATGGCACAGCATTCAGGATTTCTTTGGGGCTTTTTGGGTGGCAGAGGGGCCCTGCCTGCATTCCATAAGAGCTCACAAGTTCTCCCGGAAATTCTTCAATCTAGTCTTCGCAAGCCCAGTAACACCCCTAGACTTTAGACCCTAAACCCTACGTAATCCCTAAGCCAATCTCCGCAGATAGCATTGTGCCCACAAGCGCCCTAAAAGGACTAATGCCTTTTTTTTTAATAAGAAAAGCAGGAGCTATCTGCGTGTCCATGCCAAGGTCTAAGGTTTTGGAGTTTTGGGTAGCCGCATGTACTGATACGCTACAACCCTAAGCCCTTTTGATCTGTAATCTCCTGTATAAAGCCCCAACCCTAAGCACTGAACCCTGCACACTTTTGACGGTTGAACCTATCTGGTAGTTTCCATAAATAGGGGAACACTACAATACACATAACAACCCTAAACCCCTAAACCCTGAACCCCTATATATAAATATATATATAAGCCTCATTATAGGCCACCTCCCCCCCCAAGAATGGACCCCGATTTTTGAGAAACCCAGATCTCCTGACACCGGGAGAAAGCTAGGTGTTACGTCTAGGGTTTAGGATCACTACATAGTCCCCTTTAAGTAGATAGAATATGCTTTGGGTATATTATAATACGATCTCCATATACCCCATATTCTATCTACTGAAGAGGGACTCTAACCCCTCTCAAGGAACCCATCAAAATTTCTTAGATCATTTCTACCTGCTTTCCAGGAGTTTAGACAATGGCTCATGTAAAAGGTGCCCTATACAAGCGTCCATTACCCCGTGAACCCCAAACTCCTAAACCCTACACCCTAAAACCCTAGACCCTAAATGCCCATTGAATCTGTATCCAAGATCGGTGACTCCGACAGCGAAGAGCCGACGGCAGTAGCACCGGCAGTCACGCCGGCGGACTCCTGCTTGGAACGTTGGGGCTACATCAGGGTTTCACTGGGGATACGGGAAAATAAAATGGAAATTACTATAATGGGTTATATATTGGGGTTTATAATGGGGTCTGTAATGGAGGATCAAATGGAGAAATGGAAAATGAAATGGAAACTGGGATTATGGTTGTTATATTGGGGCTATATGGGGATGATGGAAAAGAACAGGGAAACTATTCTAATGGGTTATATAGGGTTTTGCTTTTAGGGGTTAGGGCTGGCTTAGGGGTTGGGGTTTAGGGTGTAGGGCTTAGGACGTACGGCTTAGGGTTTACTTACGACGTAGGGTTTAGGGCTTAGGGTTTAGGGCTTAGGGTTTAGGGTTAGGGTTTAGGGCGTAGGAGTTGGGGTTTACGGCTTAGGATTTAGGGTTTAGGGTTCAGGGCTTAAGGTCTAGCTCAGGGTTGAGGGGCTTAGGGCTCAGGGTTTAGAGTTTAGTGCTTTGGACGTAGGACTTCGGGCTTAGGATTCAGGACTTAAGACGTTGACCTGTGGAGAGAGTTAAGAGTTTGTGGAGTCGTGCTATTGCGGAGTACGTGATGTGTATGTTTGTATATGTATGGGCGCTTGTCAAAATTATGGGCCCTTTTTAGATCCCTATTATAATACGGCACCTCTTTTTAGGGTACCCAGACATGGACCATAATTTTGCCAACCACCCGTATGTATGTATGTATGTATACATGCCCTGTACACTTTGTACTGTGGGCCCCTAAGCAGTCAACCGAAACCCCTAACACTAAACCCGACCCCCAAACCACTTTAAGCCCCTAGCCCTGAAGCCTTTTGTACTGTAGGCCCCTAAACAATCAACCCCCAACCCTAAACCTTCAGCGCCTATCCCTGAACCCTAAACCCTAAGCCCTGTGCCCTCAACCCAAATAAAAACCAAACCAACCCGAATACATTCTAAACACAGAAACACAATCAACCCTGAACCCAAACAAACGCTAAACCATCTGTAATGGGCACTGTAATTTCTCAGGATCTTACAGGCCTCATTGTTCAAGCCCGCGGTCAAAAGTCATGACAGGTCCCCGGGACCCCTGTTTAGGGTTTTAGGGTTTAAGGTTTGGGGTTTACAGTTCAGGGTTTAGGGTTTAGGGTCGCTATACCCGTATACTCCCCTCACAATCCCTTCATACCCCTTATATGAAGGCCACCCTTTATGAGAACTCCCATGTGCCAGAGTTCCCATTCAGATCCCCATTGAGGGCGCCCGGTAGGACTCATGATGACTAACCCAAAAATCCTAAATCCTAAGCCTCAAAACCATACATGGGGGTTGGGCTTTAACACCTTGAACCCTAATTAAACCCTTTACATGATCAAAGCTACCGGAGGCAGGTATAGGGTCAATTTCCCAAAAACTGAGGGGGGTGCCCAACATGCTATGGTTCTTACACAATATAGGAACCCCAAATGGTAAGCCCTAATTTTGATCCTAAAACCTAAGGGTTTAGTATTTAGGGTGCTCGCCAGGAGGGGCCGGTACCAGAAGAAGCCCTGGAGGCAGCAGAGCCTTCTGAGGCAAGTGCAGTCAAATACGCTTGGACCTGTAGCACCCTAGTGTCTAGTAGACCCCTATAGCTCCCCATCTTGAAGAGGCGAAATAGTACCATTAAAACATTAAAACCCTGAACCCTAAACTGTACAGCCCAAAAACCCAGAACCCTCAAATCCTAAACCCTGAACAAGACCTAAGTTTCAAGGAGCCATCAGCAAACCTCAGCACAACATCCTCGAGCCCAAATAAACATGGAACCTTCATGTAAAGGCGACTGCCCCTATATTGTGGCAAGGGCTTTAGAACCCTAAACCCTAAACCCTAAACCCTAAGGCCGTGATATGTCTTCCAGACTGGTTTTGCCATCCGTCATGTGTCTTCGGTCTGGCTATTCGATCGCAATATACCAATAACTCAGTGAGCTTCAACCCTTGAGCCCATTCCGCTAGCAAAGCCCATCCCTACGTAAGCTTCTGCAGCCTTTACAATGCGTGGACTAACTCCCCTGAAAGCCTTAAACCCTAAACCCTACAGCTTCCTGGTCATTGCGATTCAATTATATTAGGGTCATATTGGGATAATGGAAAAGAAAATGGAAACTATAGGAATTATAGGGATTATATAGGGAGTATAGGGGATATATTAGGGTTATATGTAACATAGCCCTTCAGGCTTCCTTCTGTACGGGCCTAAATGGGGGTTTCCCAAAAGTAGGGGTACTTTTTTTTGGGGGGTTCTATAGGGGTTATATGGGGGTTATGTAGGCTTTAGGGTGTAGGGGCACTTTTTTGAGGGTCCCCATTATCAGGGCTATAGCATTTTGGGGTCTATATTGAGGTCCCCCTATTTGAGGAACCTACCAAACACTACCGTAGGTTTAGAGAACCGCCTCGAGCGCTATGTAGGGGCTACATTGGGGTATATAGGGTTTCGGGTTTAGGTATGATACCAACCCAATGATGGAGGATCACGTGGAACATCAAATGGAAAGTTCATCGGGAACTAGTGGTTCAAAGGCCGAGTTACCAGTATTACAGTCCCGCTACCTCAAAAAGGCCTTAAGATGAGGTTCGTAAAACGCTAGTCAGGTGTGGACATTCTGAAACTATTGTATATTCATATACTGCTATGGTGTATTTCTAAAACAATATTGTTGCTGCAGTCTGTCCGCCCCTCGAGGTTTAGGCGTAGCCCAACTCTGGGGTTGTAATTGGGAAGCTAGCACAGAATATTTGTGGGTAGGAGTGCCTCATTTCTTGGAGTAGAAGCTTCTGCGCCCAAATAACAGCAACATGTAGGGTTTTAGAGGGTCTTTGGCATTGCGGGTTCTAGATCTTTAAGGTTTCCCTGTGCTTGCATGTTTTGAGGTTCTAAGCTTAAAGCCAGACAAAGAGAAGAAGGATATGGTCCATGGTCAGTGAGGAACTGCCCGTTAACCCTAAAACTATCTGAACCCTAAACCCTAAACCCTAAAACCCTAAACCCTAAACCCTAAACCCTAAACCCTAAACCCGTAACTCCTGTACTTGGCCCAGTCGCAGGGTGGGGCGATGGATCATGGCGGGACCGCCTCTGAGCCTCTTCATGCCACTCGACATTGTTGTAAGGTTTAGGGTTTAGGGTTGGCGGTTTAGGGTTTTAGGGTTTTGGGTTGGCGGTTTAGGGTTTTAGGGTTTAGGGTTTTGGGTTAGCGGTTTAGGGTTTTAAGCAAGCCTGAGCTTAATCTACTTGTCATGTTGGCCCGGAAGAGCTGATGGCCCGTATTTTTGTTGTTATCATGACTGCAAGTATCATTATTACCGCCTTTATTGTTATTTCCATTATGTGGCCATAACAACAGTCATAATAGTCGAAATAATAATAAGAGAGTAGTGTTGCTAATAGTAGTCATAGTCCTAATAGTAACTATAGTACAGTAATGATAGTAACAACAGTAATAATAATATTACTCGTAATAAAAGTGTACTAGTCATAATCGTAATAGTGGAACGGGATAGTAATAATGTCTTTAGTATGCTTCTACGTTACACAACTCCCTAAACCATTCACCCCAAATCCTGGAAGTCGGGTGATCCTGGAGGTTATTGTGGCTATCACGGGTCCCACGGACCAATCCTCACACTTTGACTGTTAAGTCGTGCGTGTATTTAGCATTTGTGGATGAGGGTCTACTAGGTACTCCAGTAGTACCCTGTTCCCTTATTTTGTGGTCTCCCTATGAAAGCTGAGCAGTAGGACAAAGTGTACCCTTATCTCTAAGTTGTTACTGGGGAACCTAGTCTAGGGCCCAGAAAGCTTCGGGCCAGATGTTGTTCAAAGCTGTGGCTCCTTTGCAGCTTGGCACACTTTAGTTGCATACTCAGGGGCACCACGCACCCTAAACCCTAACACCCTAAACCCCTAAACCCCCAAAGCTAAAACCCGAAACCCTGGAGGCCCCATAACATGAAACGCGTGAACCAAACGGTTAACAAGAAAAAGGCTGCCTCAAGCTGTTAACAGAAAGACCCTCCGCCGAAAATTTCGCACCAGTGCTAAGCAATTACCAACATCATTTTCAAGTTTATTATGCTACCCTCTTCCATTGCCACACAAGGAGTCTAGGACCATAATGATTATTGGTAATTAGTCAGGGCCCTACAGCAGGAAAATCTTGTACAATTTTACACAAGAGTGATACAGTAGACGCCGAGGATGCTGCCCGCGTTCAGCAGCAGTTGGGTAACAGTTATACCAGGGTATCTATGTCAAGGAAATAAACGTCGCTTATGCTACCCTGTCTGCAACAACCCTAAACCCTAAATAATTTGCTAGGGTATCGGGGCCGGGGCTGTATAGGAGTTGTAGAGACATACATGGTTTAGAGGGGGCAGGGCTTAAGGTTTGGGAGTCTCCCAGACGGCCCTGATATACTTCAAGGCAGGAATATGCTGTAAAGGATATTGAGATCTCTACTATGATTTAGGGTACCTTCCCTAGTTAAAAGAGTATTGGGCTCCGTGACGACCACCCCAGTTCAGCTTTCATTTCAGTTCCCCAGTTCTGTTGAAGCAAGGTGTACAGTAGGCGCCGCATTTTAGGGTCTAGGGGATGGGGTGAAGTTTTTGGGGTTTATGACTATCAAAATGTGGCCCTTTTCTGGTGACCTACATATTTGGGGCCGTATTCTGATAGGGACGCAAATGAGACCATATGGTTGACAACCTAGGTCTCGCTGGGCAATCTTTCTAGGAAGGCAGATAATACATGACGAGTTGTGAACATCGTTCGTCTATTTCAAAACTGGATGTTAAAGTTGATTGCTTTTGAGTGTCAACTGAGTTCCTTTGGAATATTGGGCTTGTATACATTCATTGTCCTGGTTGGTGACCACAAATAAGAATCACACCATCCATGCTTCCTAAGAAGTTCAGAAGCCTTGTGGATTCTCGAAACCGCCTCAGCCCTAAGCCCTTTTCCCCGCATGCCAAAGCCTCCTGGGTGGTAAGTGTTTAGGGCTTAGGGTAGTTGGTTTAGGGCTTGGCCCTAAACCCTCAACCCCAAACCCTAGGGTTTAGCCCCAAATCTCCAAGAACGACTGCTGGGAAGCCTTTGACCTAGTCAGTCTCATCGTTACTGATGCTTCAGACAAAGTGGGGGAGCAGAATGCTATACTAATCGGGTTTAGGGTTAAGGGTTTAAGGTTTTGGTATTCCCACGTTCCCTCCCCCACCCCAAACCGCAAGCCCAAAGCCCTCAACCTTGAAATCTTATTTAAGCTTTAATTAAGGCTTAAACCCTAAACCCCCAACCTTTAACCCCTAAGCCTGAAACTGTGTAGCATAGTAGCTCTCACATTTTTCGGCACTCACCTAAGCACTAGGGAGATGAGGCCCCAAAACCCTAAAACCAACGCCCTGAAACACTAAAAACCCTAAAGCGCTGAAACCCTAAACTCCATAAGCAATAGGGAGATGATACCTCAAAACCTTAGAACCTACGCCCTAAAACCCTGAAAGCCTCAAAACCCCAGAGCCCTAAAAACCTAAACTCAAGCCCTGAACCCCTAACCTAAGCACCAGCTGCTTGAGGAGCTGCCTATGCATGAAGAGGAATCCGAGGAGCTCTTGCTATACGATTTAAAGGGTTTATACACGGGTTGTAGGGTCCTTTCAAGAGGGGTTGTTTCGGGATTATGCACAGATTGAGGGGTTTTTTGGGTATGTGGGATTTTAGAGTTTTAGAGTTTAGGGTTTAGTATATAGGGCTTATAGGGTCCTGCAAAAGGGGTTATAGAGGGGGTGTATATATATATATACAGAAATTATGGAGAACCAAATTGGAAAGCAAATGAAAGATGTCATGAAAGCTGCCACTTAGGATATAGGGTATCGCGATTTGGGGTTTTTGGGGCTTCGGGCTTAGGACCTGCAACCCTTACCCCCTAAAACCTTACAACCCTAAAACCCTAAAAGCCCAACACCTGAAGGCTCAGGTTTCCCAAGGTTTGTAGGATTCCCCAGATTTAGGGTATTCCTGGTCATGCAGAACTGTTGGCATGAACCCTAGTGGTGGTTACTGTAGTAGGGAATGGAAGGTCCCTTTCAGAGGGTTATAGGGTTGAGATAGGAGCCATGCCAAAGAGCTTGAAACTCTACCTTGTGGTGCGTTTACGGGATTTAGAGTAGAGGGTTTAGGGTTACACTGATTGCGCCTTCGAGACTTCGTAGAAGGTTTGGGGTTGAAAGGCAAACAAAATGGAAACTATTCATTTTGGAGGACGCAGCCGAAGCTGAGAAAGTCCGAAAGCAGATTGAGGAGAAAGAACAGGAAGAGAAAAGATTGAAGGAAAAGGAGCAGCGTAAGGCTGCACGAAAAGCCGAAAAGAAAGAGCGCAAGGAAGAGCAGCGCAAAGAAAAGAAAGCCAAGAAGGCTGAAAGGAAAGAAAAGAAAAGGGGGTGAGTAGACGCGGAAATTCCTCAAAGCTAGAAAGTTGATTCGAATTCTTAAGATGCCAATGGACAAGCCTTCCATTGATTCGAGTCGACTTTGGAAGAAGAGGATCTACTCCGGATCCTTTAGGCCGTAGAGCTGTTTAAAAGGAAGATACGAAACCCGTGATTCAGTTCACGATGAAGGAACCCGTGATTAAGTTCACGAAGATGCAATAAAGACTGCATGTTTCACCAAAACCGCGTAGTGCGATGAAAAGTAGTTTTTCCGCATTTCTTTGGAGAAGGATGTGGACGCAACGAAGAGTTAATTCGACTTTTGGAAGTAGAGACCTTTCCCGCGTGCATGTGGAAAAGTGAGCGGCTCACCCGAGCAACCACAGGTTTAGTTGGAATTGTTTTGGTTTAGTTTTGAGGTCGAGTCATCTACGACATGATCGTTCGAGTGGTTGATTCTGATTATCCGTTTTTGGTTTAATGGCTTTTCAAGTATTTGGCGACGGAAAGTGGGCATGGCCCAAGACAAGTCAAGTTCCCAGCGACTTTTGAGTCGATCAATGGCATGGTGATGGATTTATTCTGTTGCTTAACGCCTCAGATGTGACTTCGAGAGTCAAGTTGCATCAGACTGTTCAAGTCGTCGTTCCTTCACCCTGCTGGGAGCCTTCATTCGGGCAGAGGGAGGCTTATTAGCCCCTAAAAACCTTGAAGCTTTTGCCCAGTGACCTGCTGGCTGCTCCAGGAAGGCGGATGGGCATCCTCGCGACTGAAAAACATGAAGGGCTTAATCTTCTCAAGGCTGACCATCTACAAGACTCTTTCTTGCGACAACACCGAGAGGTTTGGGCTCAAGGCTTGCGAGAATTGTGTTCCTCGTGACTCGGGCTTTTGTATTTTTGTTGTATTTCTGGCTGGAACTAATGGCTGCCCATTCCACATATACAAAGGATAATGGACTTTATGGGCCTAAGACACCTGAGGAGGAAATTACAAACCTCCAAGCGCCAGAAGATTGGGTCTGGGGTTTAAGGAGAGTTTCAGTTTGAGGTTCAGGGGCTCAGTTTCAACTGTAGGTGTATGATTCCAAGCACTGTGGCCCAGGCTTGGGGTTAAAGGTTTAGGGCTTAGGGCTTTGGGTTTAGGACTTAGGGTCTAGGCTTTGTGTGACGTGGGGGACAAAGATTGGCAAAGCAGAACTGAAGCACGTACACAACAGCGGAACTGGAGCACGTTCCGACAAGTAGTCACCTAGATTTCTAATGAAATGCGAGGCTGAGGATAAATGCCCATAGATCCCCTATGCCTCAACCCTAAACCCCGAGTCCCTAACCGAACCCAACATTTAACTCCCAGACCCCGAAACCATAAGCCTTCAGTTCCAAAACGTTACGCCTCTTAAGGCCCTAAACCGCTGAACGCAAAGCCCCAAAAAAACCCTCAGCTCGTTCATGCCAAGGAGGAACTTCCGGCTGTCGATGATCCGCAGATTGACGAGCCGCAAGATCACTTGCGACTTGCCCCGGAATTTTGATCCAGGATTTAGGATTTAGGGTTTCGGGCTTGGGACTGGGAATTCGAAATTTCGGGCTTAGGGTCCAAGATTAAGGGTTTACATCTTTGCCTCCAACTAGATTTTCCATTAGAATCACGCTTCTTCTTCATGTAAACATGACCCATGAAACCATAGATAGTTTACACGTGAGGTTTAGATTCAGGGTCTGAGGTGTTTTTTTCAAAATTAAAGGTAACTTCCTGTCGGGCCTTAGAAAAAGGAACATCGTATTTTGGGGTCTATGTTGGTGTTCCCTGCTTAAGGGAACCTACCGCATGTCACATGTGGAAAGAAATGGCGCCCCAACAGACCAACAGGTGTGGGACGGCAGCTTGGCTGCGACAGCACATTCCTGGGCAGAACCCAACGACAAAATCGGCGTGGGGCTTTATCCTTTCCACCCCCTTCCTGCGCAGGCACCCGCCTAACTTGATTCCTGTTGGCCTGGTGAATATCTCAGGTATATTTTCAAGAGCCCCTAGATAGGACAGACCCGCCAAGAACGTTCCCGCAGCAATGGGGGAGGAAACTACCGCAATACCTGACTTGCTTCCATGCCCGGACCCCGGATTTAAGCCAGGGCAGCGGCGGGAGGGTACCCCCAGGGTTTAGGTTTAGGGGTTAGGGTCGCAGGGCTTAGGGTTTCTGTCTGACTGCTTCATGCATTTCAAAGAAGAGGAGAAGGTAGTGTGCGCCACGGGCTCTACGCAACTCCTCAGGCTTCATAGTAGCTCCAAAAGCTGGTGTGAGTAATTGTGATTTAGTTCTGGTCTGGGCTCTAGGCACCTTGGAGAGGGGTAGGCGCAGCCTGCACCGAAGGATGGGGACCCCGGATGTCACCACCTCCTTTGGAGTTGCACATTCTCTTGAGGGATGAACAACCTTAAGACCCTCAGGCACAACAAATCCTTAAAGCCTGAACGCCTAATGCTACCACAAAGGAAAAAAGCAGACACAAAGAAAAAACAACTGATGAACGCCATGAAGTCCCTTCTGAAAGAACTGTAGCCTTCACACAGCGCTTCGTTTGCGGGTGCCAAACTTATGTCGCGTGAGGATAGAACCTGCTCCTACACAATCCCCATCACACCCTGCAGTATCCCCACAAAAACGCTACACCTCACACGCCACACCCCAAACCCCAAACCCTAAACCCTCAAGCCCATGTAAACTTGCCAGTGCGTACGGTTCACAAATTTCCTTTAGTCTCAGAATGATCAATTCTCAAAGCCAAAATGACCACCCCCCAAACCCTAAGTAATGGCAATAAGCCTGAAACCGTAAATTTTCCGTTAAACTCAGAACCCCTAAACCGTGAACCCCTGAACTCCCAAACCCTAAATCTTCCATAAAACTCAGAGGCCTTCGAGCACCGCCTCGTCAAGCGACGTCCGGGAGAGCGCTGTGAGCGCCTGGACGAGGGGTTGGCCTTCCTCGTTCTCACAAAGGGATTCCCAAAATTTTGCGTATCATTTTTGAGGTTATTTAGAGTTATATGGGGTTTAAGGTTTCAGGTTAGGGTTTTGGGTTTAAGGTTAGGGTTTAGGGATTAGGGGATGCTGGATTTAGGGTTTAGAATCTAGGGCTCAGGCTCTAAGATTTAGGGTCCAGCATGTAGGGTTTAGGATTTAGGGCTTAAGACTCAAGGTCTAGAATGTCGGGATTAGGATTTAGGGTTTTAGGTTGTTACCTGCCTGGGTTCTAGCATATAGGGTTTAGGATGGGGTGTTTGGCGTTTTGGATGTACATGTCACGGGTTTTGGGGTTTGTTGCTTGTGCTCATGACTCATGGATATTTATAGGTGAGATGCTTGCAGCTCTATAGGGTTATATACGAAAGATACATGGGTAGTTCTTAAATTAACCCCTCTGAATACTGCCCTATAAGGATCCCAGAACCTCCTTATAATCCCACGCATCCTTCGGGCGCCTTAGGGTCCCTGATCCCTAACCCATGTATACCATTTCGTAAGCTAGCCCCTGAAACGCGGTTATGGTTTAGGGTTTACGGCCATAATCATGATACAGCGTTCCAGCTGTCATCTGTCTGAGTGTCAACACCAGAAAAGTGCAGAGGCCTAAATATGTACCAACGTCATCTCCTTGTTTCCTACTCCTATAGAATTAGAAGAAACACTACCCCGAAACATGAATGTAGAAGCCTGAGTAACGACCAATATCGTCTTGAGGTCTACTTGAGGTACCCTATCCCCTGATTATGCAGGGAATCTAGGACCAGAATGTTGGTAATCATTCAGGCCTCCACATCACCCCCAAAACCTAACACCTTCAACCCTTTGAATCCCAACTCTATGGAGGATTTAGGGTTGACCTTTACGCAGCTGTAGAGCACCTTCTGATATCCGCACCTTCAAGTCCAACAATATGAGCTATTAGTCTAAACTCCTAGTATCTCCTTTAAGAACCTCAAAGTATTTTGTTATATGAACCATAGCCTAAACTC